AATAATAAGCAATAAACAGTTGTCCAGAAGACTCAGACAAATCCTCCACCTCAACACAGACACCTTCTCACTTCCCTTCAGTTGCCACAGCTATAACAGAGCCAGAGCCGAGTCAGAACAGTAACGTGAGGATGCTGACCCAAAGTCCCATGCTTTGCCTCCAAGACTATTTTCTCATTAATACATTATACTTCAATTCCATTCAAGCACCTCAGAATAAATGTTTTTGGATGCCAGAGTATTTGATACTAATCTAAAATAATCATCTCAGAAATACTGCTCAACATACTGTTTTACTTCTTGATTAAATCTTTTGTCAGTAATGAACTCAATGCATGGCTTAGTACAGCCTATTGTACCAGAAGTCTGGTTAACTAGTTATTTTGTTGATTATTTCAGGTTCAAAAAAATGAACTAGATGCCCAAAGTCAGGGATCCAACTATTGCAAGGGGCTCATTGGTTAAGTCTCTCCTTCCTGCTCAATGTAAAATAATGCATTTGTCCAACAGCTACATCCTCCTGACAGCCTTGCTGCTGTCCTCCCAAAGTCCCTTCTCCATTCTACAGTGAAAATTTATGCCAAGGGGGTGTTTTCTCCCTCGCCCCCATCTCTGTGTTTGATGCTTTGACCAAATTCCTTCTCTTGAGCCCTGGGTGGCCTCATTGTTTCCTGCTAGAAAGGATGAGCTCTGTATTTTCCCTTGTCTAGGTTGGCCGTGAGGGAAAGGGGTAGTTCTTGCAGCCCATTCCGGCCCCTCACTGGAGGAGGGAGCGTGTCCGTCACCCGCACAAGTCGGGGCAGACAAAGGGGTGTCTATGCAGCGTCTCCCCTCAGCCCTCCCTCTACTCATCTCCAGCCCCAGCTCTCCCTGAGCACCTCTAGAGAGGCAGCTAACAAGACAGTGAGACGGAGCCAGGCCGAAGAGAAAGGTACGTCCTCGCTCCTGAAATTATCCTTGTGCACTTGCTCTTCTCATGCTAGCTATAGGGTAGAGACTGAGAAATCCATACGGGAACGTGCAGGAGGCTGTTTGGGAGAAGCAGATGCATCGTAGGCAGAAGATGTTATACAAGACAGACGTGTGGACACAATCCAGCCAAATACGAGTCTTTCACTATCTCACTCTTCTTCACAAAGTTGATGTTAGAGCTGTTAATATCAAGTCATTAAACATGCTGTATAACTTTCCTGTACTCAGCATTATTGTGAAATGGGTGAGTGCAGGGAGAGGTGTGTTCCCTATGAATTGCTGTCTTTAAGAAAACTAAATGGGTTTTAATGAGAACCCAAATCCTGGAAAGAATCATAGTATTGATGGTAATTACAAAGCAGTAATTCACAGAATTCATCCTCACTGGAATAGCTGCTGTCCTTACAATGCACCAACTGTTCAAGCAAAACAGATCTGAAGGATTTTTTTTTTTACTGCAAAAAAACCCTTCTTCATAATATCACAGTTATGCAGCTCTTGTGTAATTATTCCTTATGAATACATTAATAAAAACTAACTATAACACACTAACACATCTAAATATTTAAGAGTTTAGCTCAGCTTTTTTACAGGTGTTCCTGAAATGAAAGCTTGACAAGCAAATAATAAATGATAAAAAACATTCTATGTTGAATAGGTATTTTTAGCTCAATGTACATTAAGAAAACAAAAATATATGAAGTTTGTTTCACCTCTAAGTGTAATTAGCCAGCTTGTTTACACAGCACATGCCACTGAACTGGCTGGAAAAGGCCATACACTAAAAGGATATCAATTAGAGCAAAGTATTCTTTGCTTTCAAGCACGGGCAACTAAAAATACACAGATTGCTTAATAATACTAAATTGTATGTTTAATGATTGATAAGCTGAGTTGTAAACATTTATCTTTTCCTCCCCAAAGAAGTGGAATCTCTACAAATGCCAAAATATACACTGTCATTTCTCACAGTTTTCCGTGGTTCTGAATCTGGCTTCTAACACCTGAGATCCTACTGATATCATTTGACCTCTAAAGAGCATTACTCAATAAATGCTGCCCTGTTGTTTTTGGCTGTGGAGGCTGTAACTTGGGTTTTTCTGTTTTATTTTTGGTCCTTTTCAGAAACTCCCTTGCATCTAGCAGATCCAAAGACTACACAGTGCCAAATTGCCTGGCAGAACAATTCAAAAACTCTCAGCCAAATGAACAGGGATGGCAATGATTGCTGACACAGCAGGACATATCCCACAACTACCTGTTTTCCTTCGGGCACAACTCTCATTTCAAAGCACTAATTTTTCCTAGCTGAACTTGTTCTCAGAACTTCACTTGCACCATGTCAAAATAACCAAGTAATTCATCAAAAAGGACTTATGCAACATATAGGTGTTCATTTTAGATATTTTAGATATTTTTAGATAGTTTTATTCCTGTTAGAATTTGAAACAGCACGATCTTGATCTAGTAGCCTGGTTAGGCTGGATTGCTACCTCTTCAGAAAGCTTTTAAAAAATTAACAAATGACAGAGTGCACTTGCTGGCAATAATTCTGAGTTATTTTGGCGGACTTTTTTTCATCAAGTTTTTCTGGTTTGCTCCACAAGAAAAGAGGGTTTTTTTCAGTGTTACATGAAAGCAGATAATGTCTTCTGCAGATGTTTTTAAATAAGCATGCACTTACTCTGTTATTTACCTATGCATTCAGGAACACCCCATGAGCTGTGAAGTCATATTCAGGAAAAGCGACCATAGCAGTTTGCCAGAAGAGGTATGCCATGTCTGGAAGCTCTGCAGAGTTTATCCCTGATCCAGTGCGGGCAGCTAATAAAACACTTGAGCTACTGGGGAATCTTTCATCTCCAAAAAGGCATCATTTTTTTTTTTACAGTGGAAGAATGAGTTTGTAAAAAGGTCTTTGACCAAAAGCTTCCTTTAAGTTAGTATCTGGAGGGGAAAAAAAAAAGAAATCTTTAAGTAGAAAGAAAACAGTACATAGTGTTCTGAATACCGGCACTATTGAATAAGAAACTGACCTGTTGGTACCTGTCCTGTGACCTGCCCATAGCTCAGGACTTTGCTTTGTTAATGCTGATGCTGTCCGTTATCCACATCACACCTCTTGAGGATGCACTGTAGGAACACCTAAGGCAAAGGGTGAATTCCTTTAAACTGTAGATAGTGATTTAGCCATGCTGTGATTTTGACAGCCTACAGATAAAACCTGACTGTTTTCACAATAGAACATGTTCCTGTGATCACACAGAGAAGATAGGCAGATGGCAACAGATTCTGATTAGCATCCCAACTAACTCCAGTTAAGGAAAACTCATGTAAATTATTAGAAACACCAAACACACCCAAGGACAAGATACCATGAACACCTTAATTTTGCAAAAGCACAAAAACCTCACTCCATAAATTTAACTTTCACAGAACTCTTCGTCCATGAAGCATTAAATAATTAATTTATTCAATTACATGAATAGAAAAAAAAATGCTTGGCATGGGCATTCAACAAGGTATAGCATATACAAACCTGTTCTCTTTGGGCATTAGCTTTTTTGGAGCAAAACTCTCATAACTGTACAGTGTTTACAATCCTACAAAATAAAACCATTATTATAATAATACAGATCCTTTACTTGAGTCTAAAAAAACAACATTGGGCAAAGTTAGAACAATGTTTACTTTATTTGAGAAGTAGTTTTGAGGTCTAAAACTAATAAAGACAGTATGTTATTTAATACTGCACTCTAAGGTAATTAAAAAATAGATCCCCAAGGCCCCATTAGCAGTAGTTTATAGGACTCTCCTACTCAAAAGCTCACACACAAGGTCATGGAAACTAGAAGAAATCAGTCAATGAATATTGCTTCTATGACAGAAGTTAGAAAAGACACAAAACCTTATTTTTATTTTAGTCATATCCCTTAATACATTAGACACTTTAATATTTTGCTTGGCTACCCGTGTTCAAAAACATACGTCTGCACAAGAACTTAGGAAAATATAGTCAAAATGCATCCAGGTGTGGTATTTTATTCATTATATAAACCCAAATTACCAGGTTTCCTTAGTTATAATCTCCATATTTTCATTCATGGGCTGAAGAAGCAGATCTATCTTCTAAGTATGTGATGTAACTACCTAGGGGAAAAAAAACCTACAGAATACAGTCAACTCATACATTTAATAGCTTCTTGTGTTTTCAAGGGTTACCTCAAGAGTTTTACCAAATAATACAAGTGAGACTCTGCATACAGACATAATGATTTCTATATCAAGGATACTTGAGTTTTATTCTAGAGAGCAACTCTACTGTCTAAACTTTGCACCTGACAGTCTTTGATGGGACATTGCTTTATTCTTGGTTATTTTCAGGTTAGTCTAGAATAGGCTATTCTGCCTAAAGGAATAGGGCAGAAACCAGCCCATAATGCTGGACCAACTCCATACCACCCTCAGGATGGAGAGCAGCTTCCTTTTCTGTGTTGGAAACTTCAAGAAACTTGAAGAATCAATCACAAGTTCAAGCAGCAGACAGTTTTCCCCATAAGCTTTAAAGGGAAAGATATTACTATTCTTTATGTGAGCCACTCTCGTTTCAAGAGCGTGAATCACCAGGAAGGCAATGAAACACATCTGAGCATTTTGCCTGCTTTTGGTGGCATTTAATACACTCATTTCCACCGTGGGGAGAACATGTCTGGCTCAAAGCAATTTTCTCAAGGTGAGAGGCCAAAGAAACAAGAAAATTGCTAGCAAGAGAAGCCTCAGTTCCCAAGAAAAAGAAGAGGTTAGTATAGAAAGCAATGAATATCAACTTAGTGGTGATGCTTACCTCCTAGGAGAAAATCCTCTCCTAGACTCTGAGTAGGACTCGATATAGTCTCAAACCTCCAAGAGTTTGCAGGAAAGAAGGAAAGCATCAAAGTAATTTGAGAAAAATCGACCTGTTCAACAGCTACACCCATTTCACACTCCTCATTTCTCCTCAGCGCTCCGGAGTGGGAATCTTTGCGATCATGAAGATGGCGTCGGCCCTGCTGCTGCTGCTGAGCGCGCTCCTGGGCGCCCGCGCCGCGCCTGCCCCGCGCCTCTCCTGCTACAAGAGGGCCCTAGGAGGCCACGGCTGCCACAGCATCCCCCAAGCCGTGGCCACCCTTCGACCAGTCGACCAGAGCCTGCAGGATCACTTTTGGGAAGGGAAGGGCTGCGACACCATCTGCTACTGCAGCCTCAGGGAGTTGCTCTGCTGCCCCAAGTAAGGCTGCTTTCCAACTCGTGTTCATACCAAGCGAGTCCCGTGTAACACCATCTCTTCACAGTTAGCACCTGAGGGATGAGCCAGCATTTGAAAGAAATGCATCGCTGCAGGAGCTTTGAGATTACTTCGAGACACAGACGGGTTTTAAATTTTTCATTTTTGAGTGGCTCACCTAGTATTTCCTTAGCATACTTGAAGTCTATGTGTCCTATTAAAGGAAAATACTGGGATCACTCAACTTCTGACTCTTCCGTCAATAACTGATCTACATCAAATGCGAGAGCTACAATAATTCCTTAATTCCTTATCGGCAGCACTTTGCATTTTAGATGTTTCCAGGACCCTCAGGCTCTTTAGGTTTCTGCTACACAACAAAGAGCGATTTTGCTATTCCGAGGCAATCAGCAGACATGCCAGTTGAATAAACAGTTCTGTGAAGACAGCGGTTTGAGGTAGGAAAGTAAAGGGGGTGAGGGCAAGGAAAGGGAAGGAAGTAAGTCCAAAAAATGCCTGCAAGAGAGGGGAGACTTAGCGCAGGAACCACTGACACTTGCCTGTCTTGCTGACACTGTTGCTGACAGAGCAGGAGAGAGGAATTTTGAGGGAACGTGGGTTTTGTTGCTTTGGAGAAAGAATGTACTTTTCAACACATTCAATGCGGAGTTAATAAACACCAGCACCCTATGACTTACTGGCTTGAAATCTTTAAATACACTATGAGGTATCACCTCGTTCAGCATTTCAGCCAAATATTTTCCTCAGGAAATTTAGATTAAAACATCAACACAACACTTCAGAAGCTGAAGTAATCATTTTTTGCTTGCCTATATAATGCCAGCAAGTGATAGCGGCCATGAAACATTAACACCCCTCTTACCACCCAAGCTTCTCAGCCCCCCTGAAATATAAAAAGTGACTTCTCAGTGCTCACCAAGGACTAACTGGCCAGGACACTGCATTTGAACGAAGCAGAAATGAATTCTAAAGTTAAAAATATTTCTGACTATTTTTTTTTTGGCAAGCCATATTTAAACTAAGAACAAGTTTTAAATACTTTTTCCTGTTTCTTTCTCCCCTAAGCTACATGTGGTGACCTCACCTTGAGTCACACTTTGGCTACCAGCTTCAGTCTCTGAGCTTTAAACACTCATTGAAATCCTCTTATTTTGATGCAATTACCTTGACCATCTAGAGGCAGAGAAGACCGACACTGTACGTTTGCTCCCAGGAGCAATTATATTAAACAGCATGTTTGCACATATTATTTCTTATTCTCTCTAACATCACATATTTGATAAGTTCACCTTCTCAAAATAAAATTACCAGAGGTAAGGTCCTGGTACACTAGTCAGTCAACAAAAGTTTAGCTGTCACTTCCAGAGTGGAGGCAGATATACAGTATCTTCATACAGACCAGGAGTTGCATTGGACCTACTGAAAACACTTCCTCCAGACACAATAATCCCAATTAAGCCCTACCAAAAAACTCCACAAATCAACTAAAAACACCCCACTACCTTCTCCTTGCCTCCACAAAAGAAAGCAATTGCAAACACTTGTCTTGTTAAAGCTCTGATAATGTAATAAGTTAATTATTTAAATATCTGATAATGTCTTTCAGAAATATTTTCTTTGGACCAAAGATATCTTTTGTGATCCCCTGCAACAGTCAGTCACTGACGTCAAGCCCCCCGTGAAGACGACAGGCACGTCAGCCTTCCATTACTGAACCATGCTTTAAAAGGAAAATAGAAGAAACAGCAATAATAAACCCTTCCTTTCTAACCACAGTAAGAATGCCTCTTCTTACACTGTAAAAATAATTATTTTCTATATCTTTATGGAATCTTAAAAATGTTAGTGGTAGAGCTTTCATTTCTAACTTGCTACTAGCTTCCTTAATTTCCATAATACTTTGAAACTTGGTACAAGGCTTATCATTGCCCTTATATGCTTCTCCCAGCAAAAAGGCCACGTCTTTTTAAAGAGGGACGATATTCCCAGCCAGTTGTGATATAGGAACTTCAAGCTTAATATTTAATGTGGTTAGCAAAGTGACTCTCGTAGCAACCTACTGCATAATGTGCTTAATAATGTGACTCCTTGCAGCAATCTTCTGTAATGCCGTTTCCTCCTGCTTTGTTGCTGTTACAGTTCATGCTGTTTTAAGCTGAAGTTACTTGATACCTGGCATTTCTGTAGGTAGCTCATTCTACTCATTCTACTAAAGCATCTTTAAGAAAAAAAAGCAAACTTAAACTGCTTGCATTTTGAAAGTTCCACTGGTAAAAAAATGGGAAGGCTCTTACTGACAGCAACAGGAGCATACCCAGGTCATAATTATGTCTAACTGGTCACCTGCATAACAATAACAATGTGTAAAACCTTAGTTAAAATAGTTAAACCTAACTAAACCAGGAGAGCTGTTAGAGCGCACATGTTCTGAAGAGGATAGGACTGATGAAAGGTCTGCTAAGCCAGTAGTTAATAAATAAATAAAATTTAAAAAAAAGCTCACTTAAGATGCTTTTGCATCAAGCTTTGTTTGACATACAGAACCTGAGAGTTAAATTAAAACACTGGCTTTGTGTTTATAGTAGCCTTGTAGGGATGTAGCTAGCAATGAGAAGAGAAAAAGGTAACTAAAAATATTTTAAAAGTCACCTTAAGCATTAAGAATTATCATGGTCTAGCCTGTAGATGTGTGGTTACCTCCCAGCATTAGCCAGCACTGATGATAATACAAGGGAAGCAGCCACCAGTTTAACAGAAGCCACCTGAACACACCAGACTTGCACATAGCAAGCTACCTTATGCCTAATATACAAAAGCTCCTCAGCTGTCAAGTCCCATGGAAAACATGTAATACTGATGAAATTGTTTTTACACCAGTTTTACTATTTCACTAACATTTTGACTATTTTCAAGTCTTACTTCCCCAGCATAAAGTACTATGCCTCTAAATCTTATACCTTAACACACAACTACTGTTACCATCAACTTACCAGACTTCACGGTGTATGAAACATCACAAGGACTGTGTTTTTCATCTTTTGGCAAATGAGGGCTGGACAGTGGGTTTTGTTTTGATTATACATGACTAATAATAAATGTTTCAAGTGAATCCATGTGTACTATTTTTACCAAATAATTTTTGGGCTACTATCTGTTAAACAGTTTGTGTCTCCGAGTTTTTTAAAGCCTAGTTTGTGTAATTATTCCTGACTCACTCAGGCTTCCTACTGAGGAAAAAAAAAATCATCATCATCATCTGGAAGGCTGGGGGGGTGGAAATCTGGCAACCAACAGCCAAAATATCCAAAGTTGGAGCTGTAGGAGGGCATATGGTATCCACTTTGGTGGAAAGTCCCCTCTAAGCTTCTGGCAGTAATCAGGGCATGCAGCTTTTGTTGGTCCTGCCATGGAGTTTCTACATGACTCACACTGCGCATGTGCCTCTGCGCTCACCCCTTTCCAGAGCAGAAGTAGCAAAAATTAAGACAGAAGCCCAACGGGGTAGCAAAGTTATCAGGCAGTTTTCAATACTGCCCTTCTACCACTACCATTTAGGGAAAATCCATAACCCACAGGAAAAAAAATGCCAGTTTTCACGTGCAGGATAGGGTCAGTACGGCTGCTATTTTAAGGCTTATTTCCTGCAGAAGCTTTTGTTTTTGTTTCTCCCCTGCTCCAAGACAGCTTCTTCAGGTGCTGCAGTGAGAGCATCCATCCCTGCCATGCACCCTGCAAGAGGGAAAGGCCTTATATCCTTTGGACATCCCCTTCACTGCCAGCAGGCTCCCTGGCTGTTCCTATAACTAGCCCAGTTTGCCACCTTCAGAGAACTTTACAGCCACGATGGTGAAATAGGATACCAAACATTTCCTCAAAGGAGTATCAGTTTTAGCTCCCACTAGATAGGTATCGTTAAGTAGCTTGCACTGAGGCCAGCAGCACAGAACTTTAACGTGGAATTATATGAGACGCTGCAAGTGAAAGAAATTAGGCCACTGATAGCTACTGGGAAGGCAGCCAGTTTGAGTTGAGGGTTTATCATCATGCAGTCCTGAGCAAGAGCACAACAGGTACAAAAACAAAACAACAAAAAAAACCCAGCATCTCAGTTCTATCTCAAAGCAGTTTTCAAGAGTTAAGATTAACATCTAGTAAATTAGAATGTAAAAATACTGCCTCCTAGTTTCCTCACATTAAGAAAAAAAGCTTTTAAGCATCTTCTGAGGAGCCCTGTTTTAGCACACACTAGCTGAATGTGCTGAAGCTGCATCCTTTTCTCCTCTGAGACAGAGGCCTTCCCTCCCTGCCAACCTGTGCACACAGCTTAAAGCAAAGGAGGGGGAGCAAAATCATTGCAGACACCACACATTTAGGCAGCAACAACAGTTCTCAGTGAATATACAAGGAATCATACACAACACCCTCTTCAACACTGCAGATTTCACCAGATTATGTTCTTAGCAACAACAAATGCAGACGAATGCAAGTAAGTCAGCAACTACAGTATTTCCTCCTAAGTGGAGGGCTCTCTCTGCACAGTATACTGCTTTTAACTCATGCTTGTATCTTGAAGTTCCAAGAGCTGCAATTTCTTCTTCTAAAATAAGAGCAGGAAGGCCTCAATGCCTGGAAGCACAGGTCCCAAGAAGATAAATAGAATATATTAGATAGAATAAACAAGTCAGAAAAGCTCCCATTAATTCTTGCTTCCAAAGAAGGAAAAGAAAAAAAAAATAACAAAAAGAAGGAATATTCAGCCATTTCTGCTCACCTAACAAGAGGAACCACCGCTTACAGCCAGCCTTACCTTGAGGAGCAGGGAATCTATTGCCAACCCTGCTACAGCTTCCTTTTTAAAGCAGCTTTGCATCATGAGACTAAGTACATTCATAAATATATCCTTGGTATACCTTAATTGAAAAAAAATATTTTAACATCATTACATAAGTAGTCAAGCTTCTCTTAGTTACAAGTAACTCACTAAATAAGTTAGACACACCCAGTTGAGCAACCATATCAGTGATATTTATTTAAAATACTTTTGCTGAGGAAATTGTTTCAGAGGAGGTGGCTTTCAAATAAATCATCAAGATTATGAAAAATAAGAGACAGTTCTCTGGGAGAAAAAGGTACAAAGAAAGCTTTTGCATATCAACAAAAACCCTCAGTCTTTTGATCTGGAGCCTGAGTCTCAGTCCCAAGCTTTTCTGGCTAATGGACCCCACTATCCATCTTTAGATCTGGTTTGTTCTTGTCATTCTTCACCGAGTAGATGAAATATGTTAAGGTGTCCTTTTCATTCACTGGAATTGTCCTAAAATGGCAGCCAATTATCTATAAAGGAAGAATGCAAAGAAATTAAATGACCACTTTTATATGCTGAAGATTCAAATTTAAATCACATTAAAGGAAGTTTAAAACATTCATCAGGCCGTTCAAAAACAAAAAGAAAAGAAAAAGCACACACACAATCTCCTCCCATTAACTTAACTGTCACACAAAAGATAGGTGTCAATAGAAAGTTCCTGTCCTATGAGCCAAATATGCCAATTTGTACCCTAGTTTCCTGACTAAAAAGCCCTGGAAGCTTTCAGAAAGTTTCAAAGCAAAGCAAAGGTAGGGCTGTCATTAAATACATGCGGGCACAGCTCAGATATGAAACCAGTGAGCAGTAGGGAATAAGATTTCATGATCTCTAGTAGCTACTACACATTCTTTAGTAGCTACTAGAGAATATGAACAGAAGTATAGTACAGAAAGGAGGGGCTATTGCTCATTACTCAGTTTGAGGGGTCTGTGTGGAGCCGTGTTTAGAAGCCAGGATGATCCTATGTAGCAACTTTGAGGAATGATTACTGAACATTTAGCTCAAAGCCAGAGCTGTCAATGATAAAAAACAAAACAAAAAAAATGTGATGCAACAGCTACAGTCTGACGATTTCTAAACAGATCTGGAGTCACTGCTGTGATTTTGGAAGTTTCAGAAAGGACTGCCAACTTTAAGAAAGCAGATTTTTTTTTGGTAAGATTAAGATTAGCAGGAGCAAGTGAGGAAACCAGACTGCTCGTTTAACTCTCGTAGGGTACATAAGTGCTTAACATAATGAGCAATTTAACAGGCCTTCTAACTTAGAAGATCCTTGGCTTTAATTGTCTGATTAGTGGTGAGACCAATGAAATCTCTGCAGAGAAGTACAACTGAGTGCATCACTACCCGAAAGTGGGAATAGGGAAACGCAGGTGTTACTTAAGGGAGAAGCGCCAATTCTCTCATGTATTTACATCAGCATCCTGTAAACTGCACCTGCACAGTGTGGAAGGATCCCTTAAAAACTGCACTCACACAGTAAAGGAAGTGTTTCCTCTACTAAAATACTTAAAAATAAATAAATTAAATCAAAAAATACCTTAATTCATGAAGTTCTGTTGTCTGATAACAGATTTCACTTTTATCAACTAAATACTAGTGTAATATAGAAATCTGTTTTAGATTTTTCCATACTTTCCATGGAGAAAGATCTATGTTTGCATTAACTGGTTTTAAAAGCCAAGTCTCTGCCCTACTAGAATTTCACTGCTACCTCACACTTTCTATCTGTTTTTGGGTAGAACACCTAAGATGAAAGTGTGACTGACGTGCAGACACTCCCATGTTTCTGTGATGTTCACAGACATGCAATAACTCATCTTACCATTTCAACTCCACACTTTTTGTCTGTTTGTTTTTTAAGCAGCACACGCTCCTTCTGGAAGGTGAGGGCCCCTCCTGTGGAGAGGACTTCTACTCGTGACTTACTGGGCTGAAGCGGTGGGCAATGAAGGAAGCTAGATCAGCAGCTCCCTTTTGTTGTCCCCCAACCCAGTTTACACACGCTCCTCATGCAAGGATCACGCTGTGCAGAAAGCCACCTGCCATTGCAAGCTGCCTTTTCTGCTACGGAACAAACACTCATACGTACTTCAACGAGCTGTGCTTTGTTAAGTCCTGGTCTGGTCTGTAGCTTGAAGTGTCTTTTGTACCTTCGAAGTGTGTTTACTTGTAACTGATACAGATCAACCTAGAAAACATGGGGGAAAGAGGAAAAAGGTCACCTAATTTATGAACTGGCAGATTCATCTGTTAGTAGTTTGCGTCTCCACAGTGTATGGGAATCTCACAAAACAAATGCGCAAATTTAGACTGTGCATTAGACTGATCTATTTAGACTTGATAGATTTCATTTCGAGGGAAAAAACCCTCCACCCTGCATCTGTCAGAAGGAAGCAAAACACCTCAGTTCAGTTCAAGACTAATTCACCCAGCACAGCCCTTTTCCCCCTCCTTTACAGTGGCAATCTTTACTGTACTTTAATCTGTTCTGGGTTTTTACTTGTTCCCCAGTTTGAACACAATCAAAGCCACTTAACTTTCATGTTGTACCTGCAACAAGCTGGTTCACAGCTAGCCCCTAAATTACAATTTCAGCCATCATATTTTACAGAAATTCCATAAAAATACAGCATAGCTGCACCATAAGACAGCATGTATTGGAACCAAGAAAAAGTCTAGAGTATAAAGTTTTCTTGGCTTGAGCTGTGAGAAGAAAACAGCTGTTCTCGGTCTCCAAACATATTGCTGCTACATAAGCATAATGTAGGAGTTATGTGCATAGGCATAGTTGCCCAGAACTATTTTTCAGCATGAGTTGACAGTTGAGAGAATTGCACGGGCTCCTCTTAAGGATATAAATACACAGTCTTAACCCAGTACTCCTTCAGTTCCAAATCCCCAAAAACTCTGACCCGTCAGTCTCCCAGCAACACCTTACCCTGCCACCTTTCCTGGCAATGTCAACAGAGAGCTTAACCAAAAGACCAAGCAGGAAAAAAGCAGATAGGCTGAATGAAAAATTCTGCTAGACCACTTGCCATTACCGTAGCATTCACCAAAACCACACAGTTAAACATCCATTATGGAATACACTCTAAATTCATTTAGCAACCTCAGGTATAGATTACCCTACGGCACAGGCTCACGTGGGATGATGCAGAGAAGCAGCTGGAGCTCCCTGCAAAGCCACAGGAGGCAGCAGCTCCGTGACAGCTCTCCTGTCTGCAGGCATCATTTCTAACAGCTAGTGATGGTCAAGACTGAGGAGGAGCCTACAGAACCCCAAAGGTACTCAGAAGGATTTCACCTCACTTACTAAAGGGAATAGTAAGTGAAAACACTGAAGGTCAAGAGCCTACGGGTATCACAGGGCCACAAGCACAATTAGGGGATCGGGGCAACTCTGTATGAGGACAGGCTGGAAAAGCTGGAACTCCTAATCCTGAACAAGGGAAAACTTGTGGGTCACTATGCGCATGTATGAGTATTTCACAGAAGGCCAGAACCTTCTCAGTGGTGCCTCAGAGACAGAACACTGGGTACAAACTGAAACACAAGAAGTCCCATCTGAACATAAGAAAACACTTTCCTCTCCCCGCCCATGAGGGTAGCTGGGCACTGAAACAGAGAGGCTATGCAGCCTGCATCCTTGGAGATGCTCAAAACCCACCTGGACAAGGTAACCTGCTCGACTAGGCCCTGCCTGAGCAGGGGGCTTGGATCAGATACCACCAGGTCACCTCAAACTCCAGATTTTCTGCGATTCTGGGCTCCAAGGCACACAGTGGGAAAGGGAGGTTACCATTATCCAGACAGCCGGTTGAAACGCCTCCAATGCACTTCCCAGCCTGTTGTCTTTCTTCACAAATACCCATCAACTGTGGCACACTTTAGCATTCTTGTATCGGAAAGCAAGCCAGACTCCCTGAAGAGTGGCAGTCCCCACTGTGCCAGGCAGCTACCTTAAGTTACGCAGCACATTTAGATTTAGCCAGAGCTTTCACAGAAGAGACCCAACATATTTAGCAGACAAAAGCACAATTAGCATCAAACCATCCCCTCAGAGCCTTCACAGCAGCGCCTTCTTGAACAAAGTTTTATCATTTACATTGCTGATACCTGCCCACCATAGCTATGGGGAAGCCATTGACTTAACAGTCAAAAAGCAATTTTTTTTTAACATCTTTAAACACCCCTGCTAGAGGAACCAGACAGGAATCACAGCCTTTGCACAAAATCATTGCACCGAGAGCGCCTGCTAAGCCAGGCTGCAGCAGAAATAGTCCTATAGAGTCATAGGGAAGGTCACGGCATCATTCTCGCAAACCTAGTGCTTTCTCTCCCACTACACTATGTAAAAAGATTCAGAAGCTGCAGTTCACTTTCACATTGGCTAAGTGTTTCACAGGTCTGCAGGGGAGGACACTAGCAGGGAAAGTGCCATCCTCCTCCGCTCCTTTCCTGCCTGATGCTGAGTGTCTCTAGCATCAATACAGGATAAAAAGCAAAGAGCTACCCTCATTAAACCTGGAGGTTAGACTGCAGCAACAGAACAGCTGCAAGAACTGCTCTGCAGCACATCTCCACACAGCAAGACACAGCTGGAAGAACGGGAACAGCAGGGCACTTATACCCCAAGTCTTACGCGCAATTCCCTTGAATTGTCAGCCCCTGCAGAAGATGGATTTTGCTACTAGCAGAGGTGATGCTTTACGGCATGCAAGTCTGCAAAGGCAGCATCAAAGAAAACCATGAAAGCGACAGTTTTCTGTGAAAACCAGCAGACAAACAGAAACCAAGAGCCTCGCTCATTCTCGCCTGTAGGATTAATGCAGCAAATACTCCACACAACTCAGTCAGCTCGTCTTGCACTGAGGATTTAATGCGTCACAAGCCTTCCCTCCCGCTCCACCCCGGCCGGGAAAGCGGCACGAGCGGGAACGGGGAGCCGCGAGGCGCAGCCATCGCGGGGCCACCGCAGAAGGGCCGTTTCGCTACCTCCGGAGTGTCGATGTCCTGCACGGGCGAGTCGCCGTCGTCATCGCTGCCTTTCCGCTTTCGCCGGTTCCTCACGCTCTGGATCAAGTTCTTAAGCCTTCCCTCCCGCTCCACCCCGGCCGGGAAAGCGGCACGAGCGGGAACGGGGAGCCGCGAGGCGCAGCCATCGCGGGGCCACCGCAGAAGGGCCGTTTCGCTACCTCCGGAGTGTCGATGTCCTGCACGGGCGAGTCGCCGTCGTCATCGCTGCCTTTCCGCTTTCGCCGGTTCCTCACGCTCTGGATCAAGTTCTTGTGGAAGTCGCAGATGTAGAGGTGCCGCGCCTGGGGGAGGGGCACGCGGCGCCG